CTTGGGGGCTTGCTCGCCCGTCACGCCGGCAGCGTCTTCTCCGCTGTGCCAATGCAGGCGCGCCCACCCCAACGGAGGCAGTGAGAAGATTTTCTTACCCCCTAAAGGTTCTTTCGTGGGGAGGAAAATCGGCGTTTCGGCCGTAGTTTCCCACGGTTGGTCGTTTGGTCCGTTTGGGGAGTTTCATGGTTTCCTCATGGCCGCGGCGGCGTTGGCGCGTGTCGTCGGGGTTTTGTGGTTTGCCGCCCGGCGCGGGGGCGGGGTAGCAAGTTCCCGGCGTCTCGTCGCCGCGTTCGCCGTGGCTACGCAGGCGCGCTCCTGGCTGACTTGGTCTGTCCAGTGCGCGTGCCTCGTCTGTCCCTGCGGGGTGTGCCGCGGCTCTGCCGGGCTGGGGCTCTGGGCCCCGGCGGCTTTGATGCTGCCGCTTTTGCCCTCCCGCCCTCCCTGGTCTGGTGGGTGTGGTTCGCTGCTGGCCGCACAGGCAGCGGTGTCTGGTTGGGGTGTGGGTTCGGCGTGTCGAGCAGCCTCGCTTGGGGGCTTGCTCGCCCGTCACGCCGGCAGCGTCTTCTCCGCTGTCCCAATGCAGGCGCGCCCACCCCAACGGAGGCAGTGAGAAGATTTTCCACGCTCCCGCATAGGGGCGGTCAATTTCCTTAAGCGTGGCCCGTTCTGGTACTTCCGGCTCCGCTGGCTGCACAACCAGCCCGTTGGAGGAAGACGTGTGTGGAACCCCCTGTGCGGAGAACCCTGTGCTCATGGGCTCCACTGGCGGCCCTCACACGCGGCCAGGCAACCACCAAAAAGAGTGCGGCATCTGGGGCCAGCGACACACGGGACGGCAAACGGGATCCGTGCCAAGCAAACACCGCTGATTTGTGCTTCGTCGGCGGCGAGGCGGGAGAGCAGCTCCAGCGGTGAGCGATCGGGGCGACCGATACGCGAATTGGCCGGCGAGCAGGAGGGAAGGGACTAGACAGACAGAGCGGCCGCGGAAAACGGGGGGAGGCGGAGGGCACTGAAACGCGGAAGAATGCCAAGCTGACCGCTGAAACGTGCAACACAGACAACAGTCACACCGAAGAAGAAACTGGTCGATCAACGAGTGCCCCACGAGAACGTCTTACCTCCCAATGGGCCCGCAGAGCGCTGGGGCACGGTGCGAAGCTCAGAATCGACGAAGGATGTGCCCATGACTTTTTTGCAAGACATACTATCGTATGTGCTTACTGCAGGGCCAATGAGTCGCGAAGCCATGAGGATCCAAAGGACGCCAAGATTTATAGGATCCATAGGACCCATGGGAGGTCCGGTGACCGCCGCTGGAGCCTCGCAAGGGCAGTGGAGCGGGAAGCCACAGGAGGCCCGGAGGCCAAGCCACCGCAGGAGAAGTGCCGCACACAGGTTGAAGTAAGCCAACTGAACACCCGCAGTGATCCTGGCCAGGCTCATTATAGTCCTCCCGGATTGGGCAGGAATGCCAAAAAGGGACCCTGGGACACACAAATAGATGCACGCAAGCCCCAGGATTCCCACATTTTGTTACATTTTGTGGGTTTTCGTCTTACCCCCCACTTCCCATATTTTCATCGCCCCAAAATCTCGCAGCGATTTGGGGGGCAGGAAAATCCTGGGAGCGGGCCCCTTGGTGGCCTCTTCCCCTCGGGGCCTCTGCGGCCTTCTATGCTCGCTCTCACTGCTTGGCAGTGCCCTGGCGGCGCGGCCGCTGGCCGGCGGATTTGGCGGTGCCACGCCCTGCCTCCTTCCGCTTGTCCTCCGCTTAGGTTGCTGGCGGCTGGTTGGTGATTGATTGGCAGGCTTCTCGTCCCAGACTGCCCCGAATGCTCGGGTAGCACCTGTGGCAGTTGCTGTTCGCTCTCGCCCCGGCGCCGGCTACCGTTCAAACGCCTCAGCGCTGGCCACTTCTTGGTTCGGCTGGTGCGGTTGCGTGTCGCTGGTGCTCTCGTCGCCACTCTGAGCCCTGCCCGTGCTTCGGCATCGGCAGCCCAGTTGTGCTGTGCATCGCTTCTGCCCCAGGTTTGGCAGCGTTTTCGGGCCCAGGTGTGCTCGCTCGGCGTTGTACAGCCCAGGTGTGCTGTGCATCGTTTCTGCCCCAGGTGTGTACACCGATCCTGGGCCCAAGATCGACCTGGCCAGGCTCGGTGGCAGGGCTGGTGGAGCGGGGAGCCACAGGAGGCCAAGCCGTGAGAGGTCACGCAACCACCGCGGCAGGAGTGCGGCACCAAACGCTGGCTTCTCAGCACCACGCCCAAAAAACAAGCAAGAAATGTCCACACCACTCTGAAACTCATCTTTGGAACTGATATCCACACGCAAACGCAGTGAAACCATGCCGAAAAAAACTCAACCTCAGCAGCTACGGATGAGGGCCAACACGAATGATGAAAGTAAACAGATGATGAAAGCGTGGACACGACGATGAAACCTGACGTGTTGGAACGTGGACCACGGAATCTTCATCTTGCTCGCAGAGCCATCACAAGCTTATGAGACATCTCGCCATCGCTCATTGTCTCTGGATGTGCTCCTCCTCATATTTCCCCACATCCAAAGTGGGGTTCTTGTTTTCTCTGCACACCCCGCGCAGGAACACTCACCCCACCCCCTCTCCTCTTCTGCCTCATCATGCGGATATCGGCATCATCCTCATTCAAACATCATCATCGCCACCACCACCCACAATCAATCATCATCCTCTTCACCACTCATCTTCACCACTACTCATCATCCTCATCCTCATCATCGTTGAGTAAAGTGTGAGGAAGTCTCAGGCGGGAGCCCCCTCCCTATGGGGCCCGCAGATCATGTTGGTAATCCGAGCGGGTCATCGGAACCCTGTAACTGTCGTCACTTTTGGGCTCCCCAGGCCTGAAAATGGAGGAAGTCTCAGGCGGGAGCCTCGTCTGTGAGTGAATTGGGAGGAAGTCTCAGGCGGGAGCTCCCTCCCTATGGGGCCCGCAGATCATGTTGGTAATCCGAGCGGGTCATCGGAACCCTGTAACTGTCGTCACTTTTGGGCTCGTCAAGCCTGAATATGGAGGAAGTCTCAGGCGGGAGCCTCGTCTGTGAGTGAATTCTGAGGAAGGCTCAGGCGGGAGCCCCCTCCCTATGGGGCCCGCAGATCATGTTGGTAATCCGAGCGGGTCATCGGAACCCTGTAACTGTCGTCACTTTTGGGCTCGTCAAGCCTGAATTTGGAGGAAGTCTCTGGCGGGAGCCTCGTCTTTGAGTGAATTGTGAAGAAGTCTCAGGCGGGAGCCCCCTCCCTATGGGGCCCGCAGATCATGTTGGTAATCCGAGCGGGTCATCGGAACCCTGTAACTGTCGTCACTTTTGGGCTCTCAAGCCTGAATATGGAGGAAGTCTCAGGCGGGAGCCTCGTCTGTGAGTCTGCGAGGAAGTCTCAGGCGGGAGCCCCCTCCCTATGGGGCCCGCAGATCATGTTGGTAATCCGAGCGGGTCATCGGAACCCTGTAACTGTCGTCACTTTTGGGCTCGTCAAGCCTGAATTTGGAGGAAGTCTCAGGCGGGAGCCTCGTCTTGAGTGAATTGTGAAGGAAGTCTCAGGCGGGAGCCCCCTCCCTATGGGGCCCGCAGATCATGTTGGTAATCCGAGCGGGTCATCGGAACCCTGTAACTGTCGTCACTTTTGGGCTCCTCAAGCCTGAATATGGAGGAAGTCTCAGGCGGGAGCCTCGTCTGTGAGTGAACTGCGAGGAAGTCTCAGGCGGGAGCCCCCTCCCTATGGGGCCCGCAGATCATGTTGGTAATCCGAGCAAGTCATCCAAAACCTGTAACTGTCGTCAATGTTGGGTTCTCGCGCTGCCAGAACGCAGTTCCCAGGCCACACTTTGGATGCAACAAGGAAGTTTTTGGGCTCCTCAGGTCGCCGAGGTGCTGCGACAGGGCGCCGAAGGCGCCGACGACGACGGCCAGGCCGAGGCGCGGGCGCGGAGCTTGCTGATGTTCAGGCCCAGCGAAAGGGAGTTCACATGGCAGAGCTCGGGGGCGCACAGCGTGCGCCGCTCGGGGTTCACCCTGACGCACGCGTCCTACCTGACCTCCACGCTGTCGCAGGGCCAGACGCTGCGCAAGGGCGTCACCATCGACTGCGCGAGAGACGAGGACGCTGGCCGCACGGGCATGTCGGACGAGCAGTGGTGGCTGCACCTCTACGTCATGTTCTCCCGCGCCACGTGCATGCGGAACATGCTGATCCTGCGGCCGCCGCCGCGAGAGTTCCTGGAGTGCGGGCCGCCGGCGTCCCTGCGGAAGGCGCTCCTGGAGTTCGACAAGAGAACGGTTTTGTCCAGGGCGGAGGCGAAGCAGCTCGCGGCAGAGCTGGGCTTCGTGCTGCCTTCCGCCTGAGCGCGGCTGCGCCTCGCTCGAAGCCCGCGGGGTTGTCCCAACGGCTTGGTCTTGCGCGCCAACGGCTCGCGGGGTTGTCCCGACAGCCTGGCCCGCGGGGTTGTCCCAACGGCTGCGCGACGTGACCTGTAGAGAACGCGCCTGTGCTGGCCGTGGCGGCGACGGCGCCGAGGAACATCGACATGCGCGCTCATGCAACAGGAAGGGGAGGAGGTGGCGGGGCGCGGAACAAACAGGGGGGCGAGGATGGGGACAACGTAAGGAGTGGAAGGGGGGCCCGCGCCAAGGCGAGAGGAAATATACGCAGAAGAGACAGCCAGGACGCCTCACCAACCACGAGGACGACGGTGATGGCTTTTTCCAGATTCGCCCAGAGGATTCTTATGTGGGGTTCTTCCGTCGGAGTAATTCTGTTTTCTCCTGCTCCTCCTGCTCTTCCTCCTTCCCCTCCTTCAACTTCCCTTCATTCACCTCATATTACCTCGTTCGCCTCTTGCAGAAGAGTGGCCAAGAGACAAGAACTGGTATGTTTCTGCACGGTGGCAAGACAGTCGTGCGCCCGAGCCAGAAAATTCGCCGAGGACATTCTTAAGGAACCTCTGCCTACCAACTGCTCAGATCACTTGTAGCATCTGCTCGTACACCGCAAAGATCAGCGCGCTGCCTGCAGGATCGGCACCAAGAGAGAGTACGACGACGGATGGTAGGACTATGTTGAGGAAGACGGATGACGAGTAAGGCAATGGGGAGAAGAGCACGCCGCATCAACACCATCTTGTCGAGCGAATGCTTGCAACTTTTGGAGAAGGGGTCACGGAAAGCCTGCCTGTGGCAAAACGCTTTGTGCATCTCCTCCCTGTGGATCCCACTCGACCCGAATCGTCTGCAGAGCGGCGTGCATGCCTCTCGGGTCTGAACGTCGGCAACTGACTGTGTGAACAAACGCTCTGAATAGGCGGAGCCATATATTGCAGTTGGCGCCCAAGCCACGGTTCCAAACAAGACCGAGTACTTCGCGAACTACCAGCACAGTCATTGTGCATACGTGGCCGTGCCCTGATAGTTGGGCGATGGAGGGAACGTAACATGCAATCCGACTGACTGCGGTCTGCAGCACTTCCTGCAGAGAACTGCCTGCGTAATAACTTTACACGTGGCAATTTTAGCGACCGTTTCCGACTGCATCTCCATCCTCGACGTCTCATAGTGGAAGCGGCCCTGATATGGTGAGGAACGCTTCAACCAACTGCCCAAGCAACCGTGAACAGAACATGAGGCCGACGAGTCTGTAGCGTAGGCGCAACGAACACATTAACTAATCAGAGTGGTCTTACACTGGTCCTGGGTGCGTGGCTGAAGTGGGATCCCACGGCGCAGATTTTGCTTGTTTGCTGTTCGTCGTTGTTTGAGTCCTCGCCCACGAACCATCCGCGACCCACCCCCGACACCCACCCCGCGACCCACCCAAAGACCGACCCGCGACCCGCCCGCGACCGACCCACGACTTACCCCGCGACCCAGCCGCGACCCACCCTGCCACCAACTACAAAACCTACCCGCGACAGACCTCACGACCCGCCCGCGACACACTCGCGACACACCCGCAACCCACCCGCGACCCACCCCGCGACCCACCCCGCGATCCACCCGCGACCCGCCCGCGACCCACCCGCGACCCACCCGCGACCCACCCACACTGGTTAGACGAAATTTCGGCGCACGCCAGAACACGCATCCGACCGTTCGGGAATTTCGCTTCGGCTTGCCCCGCACGCGCGTCACTTCTGCCTTCGGCCCTGTTGCACTTGGTCTCCGGCTACCGCCGTACTGCTTCCTGGGCCCAGGTCACTGTGTCCAGAGTCCCCGCTCTCTTTTGTTATACAGCCATGCCTGCCAGTCGCGTAAGCGGCGACTCTTAGGAGTCTCGCGCCACCCCGCATGCGCGGCCGCGTAAGGAACACGCCCAGCGCAAAACCCCGCATCGCACACACAGACACACACACACACGCACACACACACACACACACGCACACACACGCGCGCACACGCACACGCACGCGCACGCGCACACGCACACGCACACGCGCACGCGCACACACACACACGCACACGTACACGCACGCGCACGCGAACGCGCACTTGCACGCGCACGCACACGTACACGCACACGCAGACGCAGGCGCGCACGCACACGTACACGCACACGCAGACGCAGGCGGGCACGCTCACACACACACACACACACACACACACACACACGCACACGCTCACGCACACACACACATTTCACAAACACACCACACACACACGCACCACACACACCCCACACACGCACCACACACACAACGCACACACACACACCACACACACCACACACACACGAGACACCACACCACACCACGCCACGCCACTCCACACCAGACCACACCAGACCACACCATGCACACCACACACACATCACACACACGCACACACACATCACACCACACACCACGCACACACCACAAGCACACAAAACACACATACACGCATACACACGCACGCGCACACGCACACGCTCACGCGCACACACAGACATCACACCACACACCACACACACACACACCACAAACACACAAACCACGCACACACATACACACGCACGCGCACACGCACACGCTCACGCACACACACACACATCACACACCACACACACGCACCACACACACCACACAGACGCACCACACACACACACACCACGCACACACACCACGCACACACCACACACACACGAGACACCCCACCACACCACGCCACGCCACGCCACACCACACCAGACCACACCATACACACAACACACAAATCACACATCACACCACACACCGCACACACCACAAACACACAAACCACACACACATACACACACAAACGCGAACACGCACCCGCTCACGTACACACGCACACACACCACACACACGCACCACACACACACGCACACACACGCACCGCACACACACCACGCACCACGCACACACCACACACACACCACACACACACGAGACACCACACCACACCACGCCACGCCACGCCACGCCACACCAGACCACACCATACACACAGCACGCACACACATCACACACACACACATCACACCACACACCACACACACACACACGAACACCGCAAACACACAAACCACACACATACACACGCACGCGCACACGCACACGCTCACGCACACACACACACACACACACATCACACACATACACCACACACACGCACCACAGACGCCACACACACGCACCACACACACACACCACGCACACACACAAACCACACACATCACACACACACACACGATACACCACACCACACCACGCCGCGCCACGCCACACCACACCACACCGGACCATACCATACACACACAACGCACAACACACAACGCACACACGCACACACACATCACACACACAGTCACACCACACAACACACACACACCACAAACACACAAACCACACACATACACACGCACGCGAACACGCACACGCTCACGCACACACACACAAACATAACACACACACACACCACACACACGCACCACACACACCACACACACCACACACACCACACACACACACACCACACACACACCACAAACACACGAGACACCACACCACACCACGCCACGCCACGCCACATCACACCAGACCACAAGAAACACACACAACACACAACACACACATCACACGCACACACATCACACCACACACCACACACACCACAAACGCACAAACCACACACACACATACACACGCACGCGCACGCGCACACGCTCACGCACACACACACACACACAACACACACACACACACCACACACAGGCACCAAACACACCACACACCACGCACCTCACACACACACACACACACGCATCACGCACACACGTCACGCACACACACACACCACACACACACCACACACAGCACGCACACGCACCATACACACACCACGCACACACACGCACACCACACACACCACACACACACACACACACGAGACACCACACCCCACCACGCCACGCCACACCACACCAGACCACACCATACACACAACACATACAACACACACACACACAACACACACACACACACACGCGCTTTCCCACTCACACGCACACAACACACAAAACAAAACACACACCAGCAGGTGTCGCGCGTCCGCGGCCTGGCCCCAGGCGCGCCACCTTTGCGACGTAGCCCTGGGACGGGGGCCGCAGCGAGGGTGGGCTCGAGGGCAGAGGGGGGAGCCACCAAAGACACGCCAGAGGCCCAGGCCTAGGGCTCACGACGAAACCATCATCATCATCATCATCATCATCATCATCATCATCATCATCATCAGCATCATCATCATCATCATCATCATCATCATCAGCATCATCATCACAGTGTGCAGGGAATGGGGGGGGGTGGGGGCGGAGGGGAGGAGGGAGGAAGAGGGAGGGGAAGGAAGGCGTGGAGGAGAGAGGGGGGAGGGGTGCGGGAGAGGGAGGCGGGGGAGAGGCATGGGGGATGGATGGGCATCGGGGAGGGAGAGCGAGGCAGAGAGGGGGGAAGGGGTGAGAGGGAGGGGCGGGGTTGGGCGGGAGGGAGAGAGGGAAGGATGTGAAGGATGGGCGGAACGGGAGAGCTGAGGGGCAAGAAGATGATAACAACATCATATACGTTCGAAGCCCCCCTCCTGGGACCCAGGACGGACTTCAGGCCCCCCGCTTAGCACAATAGACACATATGTTGAACACATATTGCTATAAGAAATCTTGAAACACGTTCTTCGTCGATCTTTGACGGTCGTAAAATGTCCCCGAGCTTCTGTGGGCCCCTGGAGGCGGGCTGGGGAGAAAGAAACTTCCACGTGGCAATTGCTGACACGCCGATTACTTATTTTATACGCCTTCTGTACCTACTTGTGGCGTGGTGGCTGGACAGGGCGCCAGTGAACGACGACCATCGTGCCTCGTGATCATGGTGGCCGCCGGCGCGGCCTTGGGTCAGGGCCCGGCCGCTTCTAAGTGCACTCCTCCGCCTCCCCTTCCGCCCCCCCTTTTGGTGCCCTGTTATGTGTTGTTGCTCTGTGCAGACATGAGGCATCTGCCTGCTGTGTTTCGGCCCTCCTCCTACTCCTCGTTATCGTCCTCGTCCTCGTCCTCCTCCCTCCTTCCTGCACTCCCCGCCCCGCCCTCCTTCTTCGGACGCCTCCGACATCAAACTGTGACAACAAGTGAAGTCCGCCGCTCCCCGCTTCTCGGGGTGATACGGCGTGTGAAATGATTGGCTGTCACCTCCCCTGTTCCTTCTCCCCTGGGGTCCAGAATCCCGTTGCCAGAGGGGTGGCCAGTGGAGGTCCCCCCAACGAGCTCGTCAACGCACCTCACAGGGGCCCTCGGAGATTGACAATCAAACATCCGTCGCCGCCAAGATGCCCAAGACGAAATCTAAGATGGCTCCAAGAGGGCTGCAACAAGCCAGAGAAGCCTCAAGAACAACATAGACGGCCTCAAGACGGCCAAAGGCCCCGAAAAGGACCCCAAAGATGCAAAAACTCGTTGCGTTAACATGTATGTGGTTGAATGCTTTTTGCGTCTTAGCCTTTTTGGGCATCGGCATGCCCAAGACGGACCGAGACGCCAGACTGGCCGAAGACGGCCCGCAAGAGAGCCCAGAAACGGCCCAAGACGCTGGCCTCCAGACGACCTACGAGGCCCAAAGACGGCAACAAATCCTTCAATAGGCCCCACGAGGGGTCCAATGAGAGACCAGATTCGCAGGGACCCCAGGAGCCCTCCCCCACGAGACGGCCCCCAGGACCCCAAACATGCACCGCATGGGCCCGCAAGAAGCACCCTGGAGGCCCCAGTAAGCCCAGGAAGTCTTGAAAAAGCTCCAAGACGCCGCCCCTCTAGACCCTCTGCAGGAGTGTGAGGATCAACAACAATCACGCGCCTGCAGTGCGACGGGAAATGGCAAACATCACACCACATCGGAAGCCGCACACACACACACATCCTCTTCTGGGGCTGGCGAACAGACATAAGGCATAAGCCTCCTCTAGATAGTCAGAGAAATCGAAATTGAGATAATCGGCCACGCTTGCGCAGCCGGTGCCGGGAAGTCCTACTGGGCACGACCTGGCTGACGTCATCGAGCATCATCGCTTCCCCGCCTCCCCCTCTCCTCGACCGCCTCCACCTGACCCTCTTCTGAGGGGGAACGATCGAGGGGGACCGGCTCATAAAAAGGAAACATCGAGCTGGAATCGGCAATCATGGCCGACGAGGCCCCCCGTCGACGAAACGTGCACTCTTCGATATCGTGCGTCTATTTTTGGAGTGAAATCCGTCCGACCGATAAACCGATAAACCGATAAAAACTAATTGGTTGATCGGTTCACCGACCGATCAACCGTAAAACCGATATCATTTCATCCGTTTATTGTTTATTGTTTATCGGTCGATAAACCAATCAACCGATGTATAAGCTGCGAGCGCAGGGGCGCTCCCCGGCGCTCCCGTTAGGTCCATCGATTCATCGGTTCATCCTTGGGGGTCATGTTGGAACCATGCATATTCCGCAGGAGTCCTGAGAAATCCAGAAGAATCGTTTATCGGTTTACTGGTTTATCGGTTTGCCGGTTTACTGGTTTATCGGTTTACCAGTTTATCAGTTGACCGGTTTATCGGCGTGCACTCTCCGAGCAATCTTTGGGGGTCCTCCAGAGATCCTTCGGAATGCTTCGGGAATCTTTGGAATCCATCGGGATCCCAAGAATCCTTGTAGAGTTACCGGGAACCTTTAGGTGTATTAAGAACGCCCTGGGGATCAGGAAGGACAGCCAAAAATCGACCTCCGGAACCATCCTGGGGTGCGTGTGGGCCAGAATTTCGAAGGGGAATCCAGCCGTGGCAAAAGGATTTCCCAGGAGGCCCAACAAAAGGTGGAACAATGACCGAACTCCTCGATCCTCGAAATTCGATCCTCGATCCTCGAAATTCGACCCGCGATCCTCATCCAGGGATGCATCTGGGCCAGAATTTCGGGTTTCGGGTTTAGGGTCCTAGAGGGCCCAAGATGGCGTCCAAGATGGCCCAATATAGCCGTAGATGGCTCAAGATAGCCTCCGACACGAATCCAAGGGGCTCCAATACGGCTCCAAGACGATTTCAAGTCCCCTTCCGAGCCATCCAATGACACCCCACGAAGCTAAAATGGCTTCAACACCTAAGGTAAATCTATGTGTGTTGCCTTCTCGCTGTTTCGCTCCCGATGTGCTCTTGAGGACTCAAGACGGCGGCCCAAGACGGCCCAAGAGAGCCCCAAGAGGGGCCTAAGAAGGCCCAAGATAGCCCCAAGAGCGCCCAAGAGCGCTCTAAGAGTGGCCCAAGAGGGCCCCAAGACGCCTCCAAGAGAAGCCTCCAAGATGGTCCCAAGACAGCCCAAGAGCCACGAAGCCCCCAAGAGTGTCCCAAAACGGCCTAAGAACCCCACGATGGTCCAAGACGCACCCGAGACGGCCCAAGAGGGCTCCCGGAGGGACCCAAGACGGTCTCGGAAGGCCCTTCGACGGCCCAAGACGGCGCCAAAACGGCCCCTAGACACCCCCCATGCGGCCAAGAGGGCCCCATGACGGCCCAAGAAAGCTCCAAAACACCCAAGAGGATCCCACGACGGCCCAAGGAGGGCCCCGAGACAGCCCCGAGGGTCCCCCGAGCACAGGAGGCGATGACGGTCCAAATGAGTTTCTGAGGGCTCCTTAAGAAGTGCAGACGAAAGGTGTCACATGCGACGGCCTTCCTCTTCCTCCCCCTCCTGTTCCTCATCGTCCTCCTGCTCCTCCTCCTCCTCCTCCTTTTCCTTCTCCTCGTACTCCTCCTCCTCCACCTCCTCCTCCTCCTCTTCCTCCTCCTCCTCATCGTCCTCGCCATCATCATCATCATCATCATCATCATCATCACCACCACCACCACCACCATCATCATCATCAGCAGCAGCAGCATCATCATCATTATCATCATCATCATCATCATAATCATCATGATCATGATCATCACCATAACCATATCATCATCATCAGCATCATCATCATCACCATTAACATCATCATCAGCACCATCATCATCATTACCATCATCATCACCACCACCAACTCCATCAGCATCACCACCATCATCAGCATCATCGTCATCAGCAACAGCAGCATCGCCGTCGTCATCATCATCATCACCCACCGCATCATCATCATCAGCATCACCATCATCAACTTAATAACCAGCGGCAACCTCATAATCAGCATTGTCGTCGTCGCCGTCATCCTCATCATCATCATAATCATCATTATCATTATCATCATCGTCATCGTCGTCGTGATCGTCGACAGCATCATTATCAGCAGCAGCAACAACAGCGTCGTCATCATCATGTTCATCATCATCAGCAGCATCATCAGAACCATCAGCCGCATCATCATCACCAGCACCACCATCATCACCATCATTATCATCATCAGCATCACCATCAACATCATCCCCCATCTCATCACTTCTCTCCCAAGCCTGGAGACCCGAGGTGTCACATGTGACGGCCTCCTGTGCCTCCTCGAACAGTCACCACCCAGAATGCTGGGCTAGCACGATGGCGGAACTTGCCGCAAGCAACTGGATCTGATTTGTTCATCCTGATGTGTTCTCTCGATTTTGGCCTCTGGGGCCCGTCATCGGACCCGGGAATAAAAATGATTCCGGGACGAAACACCGTCCCTATGCAGGGGGTCGGGCCCTCTGGGGCCGCGCGTTGGACAAATCAGATCGTCGAATGTTTGGGAACGCGTGTCAGCGCCAACGTGTGCTTGTCCACCGAAGCCGTTGAAGGCGGTGCAGGCGGTGTACCTACAGCGAGGGCTGACACAGGATACTCCAGATTTCCTAATAAAGGGAGGGGGGTATCTTGGAGGGCCTGGGGGGGTCTGGGGACGATGTTTTGGAGGGTTCTCCCACGGGGGGGGGGGGGTCTGAAATGGCTTGTCTTGGAGGGTCCAAACCCCCTCCCTTTTATTACGAAATCTGGAGTACGTGCTATCAGTGGAGCTGAACAGGGTGAACAATCGGTGGGCTAACGCACACACTTTTTTTACCGACACGGAGGAGCCCAGTGGCAAAGGGGGAACGACGACGAGGGGACGACACGAGGGGGGAGGGAAGGGAAGGGAGGGCGAAGCCGCCCGCCCGCCAGGCGCCCGCTCAGCGCCGAGGCGGGCCCGCCGAGGTGGGCTAACGCACACACACATTCACACACACGGACACGTCCTGGGACCATCGGCCTGAAGACGAGCGGCGCCTGCGGGACTTCGAGACTCAGCTCTCGCTCTGGGCACTATGGCTCCGTAGGGCGAGAAGATCCGTACATACGCACCGCCCCGTATGCACCGATCCTGGGCCAGGATGGGCCAGACCAGGATCGGTATGCTGGCCAGTTGACGTCCCCGGCAGCAGCGCCTGCAGGACTTTGGCCGCTTACGGAGGGACGGAAAGCCCCCCCAAAACGTCCTCCCAGGGCGAATTCGAGGGTCCCCGGATGCCGAACACGGCAAGAAACGCCGCTCCAATTTCTAACGCCTAATCCTAATCCTGACCCTAGCCGTAACACCTAACCGTAACACCTAATCCTAACATCTAGCATAACCCCTAGCATAACCATGACCCTAAATAAGCCCTAACCCAAAACCCCTACCCTAACCCTGAATCCTATCCCTAATCCTAACCCCTAAACCCTAGCCTCTAACCCTAACCCGAATGCGGACGCTAAACATGACCACTAACCCTAACCCTAACCCTAAACCTTAACCTCGACCATAACCTTGCACCCTAACCCCTTACCCCGAATCCTCACCCAAACCCTAGCCCTAAACCCTACACCCATCCGACGCGCCACGGCGTCAGAGTGCTGAAGAAGTCCGCTTTGGGATTTCTTCACCCTGCGCTAACTCTAACCCTTAACCCTAATGCCGAACCCGAACCCTAACCCCTAACCCCTGACCCAAACACTAACCACTGACCCTGGCCGTATAGTGTTCACTACTCTGTCCAGGGCGGCAGATACCGATCCAGAATAAGCACAGATGATGAACCGCCTGCCTCCCGAATGAACCCGAAGACGCGGATAGACCGATAACAGGGCTGATATTGCAGGGTTGGAGCTGCGGAGTTAAAGTTCGGGCGCGGCTACGCACCGAATAAACCGATACATCGATAAGCCAGCACACGCAATTGCGCGGGCCGAGGCGTTAGGGCGCGGTTCTCAGGGCTGGGGCACGACTACGCACCGAATAAACAGATAAACCGACAAACGCAATCAAAACTGAAAACGGGTACCAATGACGGGCTCAGCGGTGGTGGCAAGGGCGTGGCTACGCACCGAATGAACCGATCAAGCGTTAAACGCCATGGCGCAGGCCGAGCTGCTAGGGCAATGTTATTAGGGCTGGAGCAGCGCTACGCGTCGAATACGCCGATAAACCGATAAACCGATAAACCGGTCGACGCAATCGGAACTGAAAGCCCAAGGGACGGGTTTATTGGTTTACCGGTTCGTGCGATTATCGACCGGTAAACCGATATGAATGAAAAGATCGTTTTATCGGTCGACGAACAGATAAACCGATAAGCCGATAAATGATGTCGGTTTATCGGTATATCGGTTTCGTGGTTTTTGCTTGTACTCCTGCGCCTGCAATCTATTTTTGTGTCCGCAGGATGGTCAAGACGCTCCTCGAGGGTCCTCGCCGAGGAAAGTCATGCACACGCCCGAGCGATGCCAAGTTCCTGGGACGGGTGGGCTATCTGGGGAAGCCAACAGGTACCGATACCACTACCCCCCAGCTCTCTCCCAGGATGCGTTCTGACTCGAATTTCGGGGCGAATCCGGCGGTGGCAACGAGGGCTTCCCAGGAGGCCCAGCAAGGGGAAATCGAGGAAGGGTAGAGGTGTGAATACCTTTTCCTTCTCCGACAATCGGGCCATGCTGCCCCTGGTCGTTTTCGAGCCAGTGCCTGTTTTTCTTTGGATTCGGGCAAGTTTGCTTGCATGGACGGGGGGGGGCTGAGTCTGAAGCAAGCCGAAAAGAATTCGACGTGCGGGAATCACGCAAGTCGAAGGGCACTTGCACGCTCGTGTTCGATTGAAGAGGGGAGAGGGGGGAGAGAGGGGGGGGGGGGGGCGAACGCCATGCAAGTAAGCTTGCCTGGATCTAAAGGAAAACAAGCTCCTGGTCGTTTTCGAGCCACAGCCCGGGCCTCCGGCGGCCGCTCGCGACGATCTCCTGGCCCCCCTGGGAAAACGCCCGCCCCCCGAGGGCCGCAGCGGCTGGAGAGCACACCCGGAAGCTGGAGAGCCTCGGGACAGCGACGAAGGCTCCCCCAGACCTGAGACGCCGAACTTCGCAGGGCCGCGATCCCCCGCCGAGCTGGTCCCCCCGCGGGTGCCCTGCACCTCGCGACGGCCCCGGACCCTCCTCCTCCTCCTCCTCCTCCTCCTCCGCCTCCGCCTCCTCCATCCTCCTCCTCCTCCTCCTCCTCCTCCTCCTCCTCCTCCTCCTCCTCCTCCGCCTCCTCCTCATCCTCATCCTCTTCCTCCCTCCTCCTCCTCCTCCTCCTCCTCCTCCTCCTCCATTCCTCTCTCCTCCTCCTCCATCCTCCTCCTCCTCCTCCTCCTCCTCCTCCTCCTCCTCCTCCTCCTCCGCTCTCCTCCCCTCGAGCCCTCGGCTTACGGCGGCATCCATGGCAAGTCGGCACGCCGCGGGCCGTGGCCGTGAAGGCCTTGAAGAGTGATCGAGGGCCCTCGCAGCGCACCAGCTCGGCCATCTCGCGGATGACGCCCTGTGGCGCCCTCGAAGCGAAATCCCCGGCGAGCTCGTGGCCAGCAATCCTCGGGCGGGGTAGACGCAGGCGATGGCGGGGCGGTGAAGTGGCGACGTCGAGCATTGGAACTCGGCTCCTTCTCCTCCTCCTCCTCCTCCTCCTCCTCCTCTTCCTCCTCTCTACTCTTCTTATTCTCACACTTTATACTCCACCATTGGCGAGGGGTAGAGACATGCGGGGGAGAAGTAGGGGAGTAGGGGTGACATTCGAGGAGCTCTTGATTCTGACGGGCTTCTAGAGGCACGCTATCGCTGAACGAACAACACACACACACTCAAACCGCAAGGGCGGACTGGGGAATGGCATGGCGATGGAGCCGCTATAGGTATGGGTGCGAGCTGTCGGGCCCTGACGGGGGCTTCCATTCGAGCAGGGACCATCATCTGGACGGTTTCCCCCGGGGCTGTAGGCGACCGGAGGACTGGAGGGCGAGGAGGAGGAGGAAGAGGAGGAGGAGGAGAAGGAGGAAGGGGAGGGGGAGGGGGAGGAGGAGGAGGAGGAGGAGGAGGAGGAGGAGGAGGAGGAGGAGGAGGAGGAGAAGGAGGAGAGAGAAGGCGGACGGGCCGCCTAAGCCCTTCGGAAATACCCTCCACCCTCATCTGACAGCGCACACTAGCCCTTCTTGGACTTCCGAACGGGGAAATCTGGAGGTAGCATCAGAATGGAGCTGCCAACTCGTGGTTGACATCTGGCCCCGTGTGCCGCTGCCGCTGCTCCTGCCCATCATCCTGCTTCTTCGGCTTCTTGTGCTCGCGGCTGCGTCAGCGGCGATGCTAGCTGTGCTTCTGCGAGGCTGCTGAATCCCTCCATCCTCGTGAGCGGGGCGACTTCGTCCACGACGACGGTGGTTGATGTGGGCAAGCTGCACTCCCTCTTGTGATGTCTTCTGACCCGGGTCAATCCAGTCCCGGGTTAGTCAGGCCTTACAGAATCCTGCAAGATCCTGCACCCAAACACGGGTCAACGCGAAGGATCCTGCAAGATCCTGTAGGGTCCTGCACCCGAGCCCGGGGCAATGCGACCCTGGACCTGCAAGATCCTGCAAGATCCGGCGCTCTGGCTGACCCCCGTTTGCATTGACCCCCGTCTCTTGAGCCCCGATTTTCGTCTGTGCCAACGTGGGCGTGTGCCCGGCCAAGTTGAAGCGAATATCGAGGAACCTGCTGTGCATTTGCATCTGGCTCTGCCAGGGTGGGCGAGCGCCGCAAAGTGTGCCATTCGGCCCTGCGCACTCGCTGGCCTATCGCCCCCGCCGTGCTCCTCCCGCCCTCCTCGAGCAGATCTTGTTCCTGCTCCTCCCGCTCCCTGCCCCGTGCTCCCCCTCCTTCTCGACCCCCCCCCTCCCTTTGCCTCCTCATCTCGGCATGCCTGTCCCCTCCCAATCTCTGCCACCCACGCTTGAAAGTGCGCACGCACTGCCACAAAGGAGCCTGAAGGAGAATCAATGTCTCGGGTAGGTGACCCTCCCGATTGCCCACGTGTGCCATTCCTGTGAAGAACTTGGGAGGGAGAAAAAACAGTCGATGCTGGGCCAGCCAACGTTACCGCCATATGCAGCTTGCTCGTTGGCAAGAATCCGCAATTGAAAGTCCGGACAGACAAGGCGATCGGCCCCATGCAAAGGAAAATTCTGGAACGGTGAGCGGTCAAGACCACTTGCGTCAAAACCGCTCCAAACCTGAAACCGAATGGAGAAAGACAATGAGGGCCGAACAGCGCGGGCGGAAAAGAGCCCAGGAATCCCACCCAGACGTCCGCCGATGGGGTCTGCTCAAGCCGCGGCCCGAGGTCCCGACCGCTTCCCCGAGGGCATCTTCTCGCCACGGGTCCAAACGTGACGGTCCTGGGGCCCCAGACCAGCCCCCGAGGGCCGACACCGAGGAACGAACGTTCGGCCTGAACCACTCGTACCGTCGGAGGCCGGGGCACGTGGAGAGGGATCATAGCAGTGACGAGCGGTGGGCGGCGGCGGGCAAGGGATGGGTATAGAAAATTGGCTCGCGAACGCGTCGCGACCTGCTCTTGTCGGTGAGGCGCACGCCTCCAGGCACAAAAGCCCGTCTGTACTCCTCACTCGTCCCCGAGATCCGACGCCGCGAAACAAAATGTTACGTGTTCGACCATGGACCCCTTTGTGACGCGCTCCTGGGCCGTCTTCGGAGGCCTCTGGCGTTCTTCGCCTCATTTTCGTCGGTCTTGGGCGGTCTTCTGACGGTCTTCGGCAGTCTTTGAGGGCTTCCACCTGTCTTCGGCGCAAGAGCTAGATGATTGGGCCGAATTTAGCTGCAGCATTTCTCGAGCCAGATCGATCCGTGATGGCTCGGGGGTCTGGAACTCGACGAAAACGCCCGGTTTGGATGAGCGTCGTTTAACCGATCCCTATCCCAACAGGCGTGGAAAGGGGACCCCGCTGGCCAATTCACCCTCCTTGATAGGGGATACAGGCTGTTCTATTTGAGCTTTGAGGGCCACATCCCCAACTGAGGGGATGAGATGGAGGGGATCGGGATGGGGATGGAGACCCAGACCCCCGACGACGTGACTCTTCCACAACGTCGACCCCCAGAGGTCTGGACCCCTTCCCAGGGACCAGTCTTTCATCCCGAGTCGATTGCTGACGGCCCTGGGGCCCGGTGAGGGCCCACGGAGGCCGAAAATAGGAACAAATCTCCAGTCGTGACTTCACGACGCAATCATGTCCTGGATAGGGATCGGCTGAACGATGCTGATCGAAACAACTGGAGCGCCCAGACCGCAGGCACCAGCCTCCCGCTGACCCAGCCTCGCAGGTTGAAAATCGCGGAGCGCACACATCTTTGGACGCCCGAAGTGGGTACGGAAAAATGGGTACAACGCCGAACAACAAGTGCTGTCCAAAACCGACAGCGGCCGCTGTTGAGCAGGCGGCGTTGTGTCTTCAAAGAACAGCGTCCGCGGCGGCGCGGAGAGCGAGCCCTGTTCAAAATGAACAGGAACTGCTGTTGGGCATCGTACAGTGGAGACCAGTCCTCAAGAAACCTTCCACAAGAAACCCGACCCTGAGGCACCAGGACGTCCATGGATCTTTGGTGTGGGAACGTCACGCCTCCCGCAGCAAAACCATCGAAGCCCAAGAAACCCGGGGCACCCTGGAGGCAAGCAGGCTGCTTCTTGGCATGGGCCTCCACTGCGCCCACTCTCTCCGTACCCCTCTCGACCGTCCCGAGCATCGGCGCCTCGCGCCCGCCCACCGCCGATGCTCCTCCGAACGCGTGCTCGCGCCACCGTGCCGGCACGCACGCGCAGGATCTGCACGGCCCGAGCGTGCTGCGCCGCCTGCGGCCTCCTCCCCCCCCGCCTGCAACCTCCTCCCTGGCTCTCCCGCTGTGCCCGGGGAGGCCTTCGGCACCTCTGCGTCCTCCGCTGTCCTGGCCGCGGCATGGAGCCGAGTCGCCGCCGACAGGACGGCTTCGGCGCCATGGTGCGACTCTCCGCCGAAGCCCTTCCGCAAGACACAGGTGGCGCACTGAGGGCCAACACTATAGCGGCGTTCTACCGGTGTGGCTGGACCTGGGAAGCACGCTCGGGGGCGCGCAAACCTGGATTAGCGATCCATGGATTTGGCGCGCGGTCGCCAAATCAATGGATCCGGGGAGGTGCCCTCCCCAAAATGCGGCCGGTGCCGCCTCAATCGGCGGCGCAAATCCGCGATTTCCAATGGAAACGGGACCCGTCGCTAATCCACGCCCCCTTAATCCATGTTTGCGATCGCCTGGCACACGTTTGACGCTAACACGCGACCTGAGATCATCGGCACCGGTGCCTCGAGCTGGCCGCCACATCGGGTCTGCCGCTCAGGCCCGCCCCGCCAGCTCCCGGCCAACGGACTCGAGGCGCTCGATCAGCGCCTTCTCCTGCGGGGCACCACCAAGGGGGGTCACAGCTGGGCGGGGGGTCCGCCACTCCTTCGAGGAAGTGCCACTTCCTCGAGGAAGTGGATCCCCAAGCAGACTCCAACGGTATCCCAGCGTCCAACAAAAAACCTCGAGCTTCGACCCTGGAGCCTCCCCAGACAGTCGGCACTCTTCGGATCTTTCGACGGACGTGGGCCCCAAGAGGCCTGGAGGTTTGGAAGACTTCCACAGGGCCAGCTTTTCGTCCAGAATAATTTTTTGACAACCCTGGGGTCTGTTGTCCAGCATGGGGAAAGCGGGTCCTGAGGCAGAAGGGCCCCCGACCCTGGGGCCTTCCCCAGGACGAGATCTCTTCCTTCGGAGCCGCTCTCTGGCAGCCCTGGTGCCCGTGAAGGACCCGAGAGCCCGAAAAAACTGCGAAAAAAGCCTGAGGACCCGTTTCCCTCCGGACGCCTCGGGTCGGGCGAAAGGGGGGGATAGCAAAGGGGGGTTTGAGAATCAGCTCACGTAGCTGATTTTCCCGCGCCTCCCGGCGCCGGAGGCGGCTATGTATCGAGGAATGGGCCCCCTCGGTGAGGCCGAAACCAGCTGCATGCAGCAAATTTCGTAACCCCCCTTTCCCAATCCCCCCCTTTCGCCCGCCCGAGTTTCCCCCACGGCGACTGCTGCGGGCCCTCGGGGGCCGAAGGCGGCCCTAACCCGCCGCTTCGTGCCTCCGCCCTCGCGTCCTGTGGGGTGTGGCCGGGCGGGGGCTGCCCGTTCCGACGCACGGCGGGGACAGGAAAAGGAGGGGTTTTACAGGGCCCATGTCGATCCGATCGATCCGATCTGATATCGGTTCTGGCCAGCTCGGTCCCTCCTCCTCCTCCTCTTCCTCCTCCTGCACCCGGAGCTTCGATCCTGGAACCTCGATTTCGGACGGGGGTCGGCGGGGCCGTGGCTGGCGGAGGGCCCAGGCCCCTCCGATGGGCAGGCGACGGCACCCGAACCCCGCCGCCACCAGGCACCGACCCTCCGGAATCGCTGCGAGGCGGGGGGGGGGGGGCACGTGCTCGGACCTCGCCGCGCGCTCGACGGATCCCGAGCCCCGACTCCCCCCCGCCGCCCCTCGAGCCCCTCGGGCCTGCCCGAGTCGGGGATCGGCGAGGGCAGGGCTCGGCTCTCGCCGCGGAAGCGGGGCCGCCGCGGGCGGGGCGGGCGGGCCCGGGCGCCGCGGAGCGGCAGCGGGCGGCGCTGCCCTCGTGGGGGGGAGGCCTCCTCTCTGGCCGATGGCGGGGCCTGCTGTTGTCTGGGCCCCAGCGCGTCTTTGTGTGTTTTTTTTTTTCCGGGCGCCCCCGGCGAGCGTTTTTTTTATCCGGCGCTTCGACACTGGGCGGAAAGAGGGGGGGAGGGGGGGGGGGGTCTGGCTCCAGACCTCTGCTTAGTGCGACTGTTTGCAAGAGTGCTGCCTCTGGGGGAGACTCCACCCGCTTGAAACAGGCGCCAAAAAACAGCAAAGATCTACTCCATTGGGGATGGGGTGGGGTGGGGGGTCCCTCGCCGATCGGCAAAACATTGAATACCAAAAACGATCACCTGAACCTAAGCCTCAACTCAAGTCTGAAATAGAAAGCGGACTGTCTTTCCCGTCAGATGCAGGTTAGCCCGAGCCTTCAGAAGATCGCTTGTTGGGACCTTGCTCGGCCTCCTCGCGAAGCGACTTGCGGACCTGAGACAGCAGGTCAGGCTCGGCCTGAGCTCCTACTTGTCTGGGAGAGGGGAAGAGGAGGAGGAAGGCGGAGGGAGAGGGCCGCGGACAGCCGATGACCCGAGTGCCGCACGTCTCGTGTCAGCAGAGTGCCGTGGGTGAAGAAAAGGGCCTTAAAGGGCCTCTTCAGGGCCTTTTTCTTCACACCCCATTTGGGTCATCCTCCTTTGCCAGCCGCCCGAAAGTGGGCAACCTGCGGCCAGAAGCAACAAAGCAGCATCCAAGCCGGGAAGCGTCACGCCGGAACGCCAGAGCTGCACTGCAGATTCCCGCGCCCATGTGCCGAAACAACAGCACGATTCTGGCAAAACGGCAAAACCTTCTGGTGATGGGCATTGGATAAGGAAGCATTGGAGAAAAAGTCCAGGGTCTAACAAAAACCACTGGACCTCCAATCGTGGATTTGCCATGGGTATCACCACCGACCTCATCAGGTAAGGAATCCTCAAGGGTCTGAAGCCTCCTTGGCACATTCCCTAACGAATGCCTCGACCGTAGGCGGCACCCGATCAGGGGAAGCAGCACCGAGCTGGAACTGGCGATACATCGCCGACAGATCGGTGATACGACCCCGATGGCAAATCCGACATGTGCGGGGTGGGGCTACCTGGCACCTGTCGGCGATCCACGGGAGACTGGGGGGCGTCGCGTTCCTCTCTGAGCCTATCCCCCCCCATCGTCGCCCCTGATCTGGGGAACACGCGGCGGCAGAATGCACAGGCGCCCCGCCACCCCCCAGAGGCGACACCCCCTTAGCATTGGGTCGCGTAGCAAAACGTAGTCGAAGTCCCCAGACGATTGTTCGACTGTCTTTGAACACTCCTCCTGTAGAGGGACATGCCCGACGTAACCTTAGCACGGGCCGATCCTGCTCGTGGGTCCTGCACAGGTCGCCGGCCAGCCTCGCCTCGCGCTCCCTCACGGTGGCGAGCTCGGCCGCCAGCTTCGTGGCCTTGGCCATCTGGGCGTCGAGCTTCTCTGTCAGCGCGCTCTCCAGCTTCGCTCCTCTTGGCGGGCTGGGGCCCCAGACCTCCGACGACCTGCCTTGCTCGACCGTCGGTTCTGCCTCTGCCTCGATCTCGGCACCTGGGGCCACCCGTCGGCCCCCGGGGCCGTCAACGACGGACCCGGAGCGAACCGCTGGCCCTGGGCGTGCGGTCGGGACTTCTGGGGCCGCGGACTGCGCAAATCACATCGGCGGATGTCGGGGTTGGCGCGCCAGGGAGTCGGGGGGCAGCTCGGGGGATGGTCCCGGGCCACGGGGCCCTCCCTGGTGGAGGAGCGGGAGGACGAGGAAGGCGGGAAGAGGATGAGAAGCGGGAGGAGGCAGAGGGAGGAGGGCAGGGCAAAGGAGAAGGACGAAAAGGGTCAGCTCACAGGGGGTCCAGCGTCGCCGGGAGAGGGGGGGGCTTCCACAGTCAGTAACGGGAACGACGGATGAGCGTGTGTCACCCGTGTCCGCTCTAGATATTGCAGTTCCCCCCTCCCTGGCGCGCGGAGCGCGCTAGGGCCTCCTCCTCCTCCTCCTCCTCCTTCTCCTCCTCCCTCCCATCCCTCCCTCCCTCTCTCCTCCTCCCTCCCTCCCTCCCTCCCCTCCCTCCCTCCCTCCTCCCTCCCTCCCTCCCTCCTCCTCCTCCTCCTCCTCCTCCTCCTCCCCTCTCCTCATGTTCCGCCCATTCCTCCTCAGTCTCCTCCCTCCTCCATCCTATTCCCTCTTCCTCCTTTTTCCTCCTCTTTTTCTTCCTCCTCTATCCTCATTCCTCCTTTTCCTCATTTTCTTCCTCCTCTTCTTCTTCTTCCCCCTCCTCCTCCTCCTCCTCCTTCCTCCTTCCTCCTTTCTCCTTCCTCCTCCCTCCTTCCTCCTTCCTCCTTCCTCCTTCCCCCTTCCGCCTTCCTCCTTCCTCCTTCCTCCTTCCTCCTTTCTCTGTCCTCCTTCCTCCTTGCTCCTTGCTCCTTGCTCCTTCCTCCTTCCTCCTTCCTCCTTCCTCCTCCTCTTCTTCCAAGACTCGCAACAGCAAGAACAGGAACCCAAAGGAGGACGAACAATTCTGGGAGGAGGGCCTGGGCAAGATCCGGATCAGCATCAACACGACCCCCAACTTCCGAGCGGCGCTCCCGAAGGGCAGGAACGACGAGAGTCTGGAGAAGCTAGACGAGTTCTCTGACCACAACCCGAAGAAGGCAGTCCTCGCAATTCGGGATTCCAAGATGCCCTGCCGCAGAGTAGTCCGCCACTTTCACCTGAGACATCCTCGCAACTTTTGATTCAGGGATGCCCTGAGCTGAGGTGCTCAGGCAATTTTCGTTTGAGACATCCTCGCAATTCTGGGTTCGGGTATGTCCTCAGCTGAGGTGGTCAATTCACTTTCGCTTGAAACATCCTCGCAACGCTGACATCGGAGATGTATTGCCCCGTACTAGTCTGGCTACTTTCGCCTGAGACCCTCGCACCTCTGAGTTGCGAGATGCCCTGAGCAGACGGTCAGGCCACTACCGCCTGAGATACGCATGTGTATGCGCACCCATAATTACACATAGGTGCGTGCACCAACAAACACCTGCGAGTGACATATACATTTACATACACATCTGTACATGCACTATGTGTACACATACACAACAGTATACATGTGTGGTACACACAAAGATATATGTGCAGAGCGTGCATGCGCGTGCGCGTGTATACATGCATGCGCGCATGTACGCACGCACGCACCCCGCATGCGTGCGAAACTCAGAGGAGCAAGGTGCATGGCGCGCAGCGCCAATGCAGCCTGGTATATATATATATATATATATATAAATCCAGTATATGAATACACGTGTATATACATTTATATACATATATATATATGAATATACATACAGAGCAGCAGATACAAAGAGAAAGAAAGAGAGAGAGAGAGAAAACAACAAAGAGAGACAGCGAAAGATAATGATGCGACTCCGATCGCCACCTGCTCCTGCTCCTCCTCCTCCTCCTCTTCCTGCTCCTCCTCCTCCTCCTCCTCCTCCTCCTCCCTCCTCCCTCCTCCCTCCTCCCTCCTCCCTCCTCCGTTAAAAGAAAATAGTTGTCGGAGCCGTGGAACATTCCTAATCGCTGCCTGGACAGTGGGGTGGCGGAGCCCCCCGAGCGTTTTCTAATCATTGCTCGCCGTACCATAAACATTGCTTGCCCCTAGGGCTTCTTCATTTCACTTCTGAAAGAATTGGATGCGTATGCGGGGGCTTCGGCTGCTGCCCGGTTGGTGGGCGCCCGTGGGAGCCTCGTAGGCGCCTCGGGCCTGGGGGGGTATGCTGAGGTGTCGTGTGGTTCCGGCCCGCAGTCGCCTCAGGGCACCCCATTCTGGGAGAGGCATGCCAAAGTTTCGTCTGGTGCCCGCCCGTGGGCGCCTCGTTGGCGTTCGTGGGCGCACTTTGGCCTGGGTGGGTAAGGTAACTTAGCTTTCACAGCAGAGCTCACACTGCATAGCTTAGATCGCAGCGATAAACAAGCAGAGCTGCAGCGCTTATCTTCAACAGCATATCTCACACCACAAAGCTTATACCTATACGACCACCCTTCGGGTGATAAGGAGGTTCGGGGGGGGGAGGAACCAACGTCTCACTCGATCGGTCTCACTATCGATCTCATTATCGATCTCAGTATCGGTCTCGCTCGATCGATCTCCCTCGATCGATCTCACAATCGATCTCACTCGATCTATCTCACAATTGATCTGACTATCGATCTCACAATCGATCTCACAATCGATATCACAATCGATATCACAGTCGGTCTCACTATCGATCTCACTATCGAAATCACAACCGCTATCACAATCAACGTCATCATCATCATCATCATCAACAACATCAACATCAACATCATCATCACCAACATCATCATAATCGGGAACCCGTCCTCATCATCAACACCAACATCATCATCATCACGGTCATCAACATCATCGGGACACCACCGTCATCATCATCATCATCATCATCATCATCACCATCATCACAAGCATCATCATCATCAACATCTTCATCATCATCAGCAGCATCGGGACACAGCCATCGTCATCATCATCATCAGCAGCATCATCATCGGGACACCATCATGAACACCATCGTTATCATCATCATCATCATCATCATCATCATCATCATCATCATCATCGGGACACCATCATCATCATCTCATCCTCATCATCGACATCATCATCAGCATCATCAACATCATCATCAGCATCACATCATCGTCATCATCGGGGCACCATCATCATCATCATTACCAACATCAGCATCAAGATCATCATCATCACCATCGGGACGCCATCATCATCAACATCATCATCACCAGCATCACCATCAGAATAATCATCATGATCGGGACGCCATAATCATCATCAACCTCATCAGCATCAACATCATCATCATCGGGACACAATCATAATCAGCATCATCAACATCAACATCATCATACTCATCATCATCGGGACACCATCATCGTCATCATCATGATCATCAACATAATCATCATGATCATCATCATTCTCATCATCGGGGCACCATCATCATCATCATCATCATCATCATCATCGTAATCATCATCATCATCGACAGCATCATCATGATCATAATAATCATCATCATCGGGACACCATCATCATATAAGCATCATCATCATCGTCCTCATCATCATCATCAGCATCACCATCATCATCATCATCGTCATCATCATCATCATCAGCAGCATCATCATCAGCATCAGCATCACCATCATCATCATCATCATCATCATCATCATCACCATCACCATCACCATCACGATCACCATCATCATCATCGTCATCATCTCATCATCATCATCATCATCATCATCATCATCATCATCATCATCATCATCATCATCATCATCATCATCATCATCATCATCATCATCATCATCATCATCATCATCATCATCATCGCGGGACACCGCGGGACACCGGCGGGACACCGCGGGGCACCGCGGGACACCGCGGGACACCGCGGGACACCGGCGGGACACCGGCGGGACACCGCGCGCCACCGGCCGCCCGGAAGAGACACATTTGGTCCGGCCGCGCCTCAGCCACAGGGACACCGACGGGACACCAGCGGGACACCGGCGGGACACCGCGCGCCACCGGCCGCCCAGAAGAGACACATTTGGTCCGGCCGCGCCTCAGCCACAGGAGACTTTCCTCTCGCCCGCCCACGCAGCTTCGCCTCGCCCGCGCGCACGGCACGCACGAACACGAAACCGAAATCGATTTCCTGGTAGGGGGGCTCTCCGTTCCACTTCGATCTCACCCCCTCACCTCCGACAACATCGCTTAGGCCAAATAGCTCACACCACACAGCTCACACAACAACGCTACCACCACACAACTTACTCTACACAACTTCCATCGGCAATCTGCAAACACCTACTGTCTGGGAAGCACCGTGGCTAAGGGGTGACGTGTCATACTGAACAAACTGTCGAACCACCGTGCCTGGGAGGGTAATGGGGAAAAGGACTGGGGAAACCAAAAGGTACCGATACCGCTACTCCCCAGACCTCTCCTGGGGTGCGTTCTGACTAGGATTTCGAAGCGAATCCAGCGGCGGCGACGAGAGCCTGCGAGGAGACCCAAAAAGGGGAAAACGGCTGAAGGGTAGAGGTATGGGTACCTTCTCCTCCTCTGATGAATGGGCCTGGGAGAGATGAGACTTTGAGCAGGAATCGACCGTCCCAGCATTCCTATAGGCCTGCCACGAAATGTTCTCAGAACCCAGCAATGTTCTAATAACAAAAACACTGTTCTTAGAACATCAACCGGATGTGTTGACACAAGACAAACTCAGCCAGAAATGTTCGAAGAACATGTCGTGGAGACCACAAAGGAGGTGATCTGACCATTCTGTGGTCGGGCCTATAGCCGAGCTGGGACGCTTCGCCACTGCTTGAGGAGTGGGAGGGCAACGCCTTGGCACCTCCAGGCCACCACACCTCACGCGCCGTGCCTCGAGGTGCGCCGCGCGCGCCCATCTGCGGGCCCTCGCGCCGCCCCTTCGGGGATGCGGGCAGCTCTCCGGCCCGGGCTGCGACGCAGCCAGCGCGGTGTCGCCCCCCCCGCCTTTCAAATCGCTGCAATGCGGGCTTCACGACGCCTGTGCCCCTCGATTCGCGAAGGACCTTCCACAAGTTCTCCAACCGTGCGTGGACATCTCTGGGTTGACCTTGGCTTCTCTGGCTTGGCCCCCACAACCCGACTGGCGAAAAATCGTCAAGCCCTCAAAGACACGTCTTTCCGCTTGTCCGCGCACCCGCGCATGCTTTCGGTCCGCCGGGTTCCGGACTCCAGCCGGTCCACGGTGTTCCTCAGCAGCGACTCGAGGCTGTCCCGGCGCTGCCGCGACTCCGACAGCTCGCTAGCCAGCGCCCTGCGGCCCCCCCTCCCTCCCTCTCCCCCCTCCCCCTCTCCCTCTGGCTCCCTCCCTGCCTCCCTCCCGTCCCCTTCCTCCCTCCTTGCTTCGGGCTGCGCCGAGTCGTCCGAGGCGGCCTCAACACCCGGCCCTGGGGCGCCCCGCGCCCCAGGGTTGGGGTTTTCACACCGTCCAGGGCAGCTCGGCGGGCCCGTTGAGGCCAGCGGGGATGAGGAGGAGGAGGAGGAGGAGGAGGAGGAGGAGGAGGAGGAACAAGAGGAGGAGGAGGAGGAACAAGAGGAGGAGGAGGAGGAGGAGGAGGAGGAGGAGGAGGAGGAGGAGGAGGAGGAGGAGGAGGAGGTGGCCCGGGAGGCCCGTCTGCGCGCGGCCCGCAGCCTTACCACTCCTCCCATGCCCTCCCCCCCGGCCCCTCCCCTCCTCCCGCGCTCCAGGGCCCCTCGCAGCTGCTCCTGCAGCTCCGGCTCCAGGTCCACGGCCGACTCGAGCTCGGAGGCGAGGCTCGCGATGGCCTCCTTCGTGGCGGAGGCCGCAGCGCATCATCGGGCGAGCGGCCAAGCATGTCCAGTGTCCACCCATCTCTCCCTTCTCCCCCGCTCTCCCCTGCGTAAAACTATGTGTGTCTCCCTTGCTCCTTCCCCTCCTGCAAGCCCTTGTCGTCGTCGCCATGGTCCGCCTTCTAATCGTCCTCGTCCTCGTCCTCGTCCTCGTCGTCGTCCTCGAGTGATCCTCGTCCTCATCCTCGTCGTGGTCGTGGTCGTGGTCGTGGTCGTGGTCGTGGTCGTGATCGTGGTCGTGGTCGTGGTCGTGGTCGCCGTCGCCGTAGCCGTCATCGTCGTCGCCATCGTCATCGTCGTCGTCGTCGTCGTCGTGCTCCTCGTCGTGCTCCTCGTCGTGCTCCTGGTGGTCCTCCACTGCATTTCTTCGTCGGCCTATTCCTCTTCTTCTTCTTCCTCCTTCTCCTCCTCCTCCTCCTCCTTCTCCTCCTCCTCACAAGCGGTGTTCCGCCAACGTGAGCGGACCTGTTCTTCTTTCCCCCCCCCCGTTCCAGGAAATGGGAAGGGGCGGCGGAGGAAGCGATTGGAGCAACCGATACAAGGGAACAGAAATGAGGGAACTGCTGGGGGGGCAGGGGAGGAGACAGACGGAGAGCGAACGGGGAGGGGGAGGAGGAAAAACGGGGGAGGATGGCGACGGGGGGGAAAAATGGGAGCGGGGGGGGGAACGTGAAGATGGGGAAAGGGGGGGAGCCTGCACAAGGCGGGTATGGACGGGGGACAGACGCAAACGGTTCGCCTCAACAATCGTCGTGCACCCACTCGTCCTCCTCCTTGTCCTGTTTTTCCTTCCTCTGGTTCGACTCCCGTTTCCCTGAGGCATGCTGGTTTGCAGGCCATCACTTGGGCATCAGGCAACCGTTCGGGACGACCCGAGCATCCCCAGAAAACCCTCCTCGACAAGGCGCAGGTGCTGGAAGGCATCCCGAGGCGAGAATACCTGCATCCCAACACACCAAACACTGCAGCCAAACCCTAGCATCCGCCGAAATGAAGTCTTCACTCCGCAGCCCCCAGGAGGTCCCGACCGCTCCCCTCGGGTATAATTTTCGCCCTGGGTCCAGGCTTGATGGTCCCCGGGGGCCCGAACGCGGCCCCAGGGGGCCGAAATCGAAAAACAACTCCAGCTGAACCATCATGCCGTCGTCGACGTCGTCCTCCCTGCGAAGGGTCGTCGACGTCGACGTCGTCGTCGTCGACGTCGACGTCGACGACGACGCCCCTCGTCGTCGACGTCGTCCTCCCTGCGAAGGGTCCTTCGACTCCGTGAGCCGCCGCTGCAGGTCGGCGGTCCTCTGGTCCGACTCCGCCAGCCGGCGGCCGGTGGCCTCCTGTCGGACACGCGTCACGGGCGCACGATGGGACGCCCGACGCGAGGGAGCGATGGGCACGAGGACGAAGACGAAACCGAATGCGGCGACCAGGAGGAGGAGGAAGAGGAGGAGGAGGAGGAGGAGGAGGAGGACTGACTGACTGACTGACTGACTGACTGACTGACTGACTGACTGACCACCATGAGCTCCATCGATCTCTGACGGAGGAGGAGGAGGAGGAGGAGGAGGAGGAGGAGAGCCACGGGCTGAGGAGAGCGGGGCGCATCAGATGTTGACGACGCTGTGGCGCATGGCCGTGGGCGGAGCCGAGGCCGCGAGGCATTGGACGCGGGCTACAAGTACGCGTACCTCCAGCAAGCCAAGCGCGCGTTCAAATGCCAGGCTGCGGGTGAAATTGCGGCCCTCGTCGTCGCCCGTCTCGTCGTCGCCCTCCCCATCTGCCCCCAATTTCCCCCCCGGGCCGCAATTTCGCCCAGAGGTTTCGAGGCCTCCTGCGCCCTCCGCTCGGCTGACCGGGCTGTGCACGGCCACCTCGACGTTCTGCGAGAACCACCGCGATATCTTCAAACAAGTGCATGGCGACGAGCTGCCAGCGCCATGCCCCGTGCCAGAGGCAACGATTCGCCCCGTCCAGGCCACGGCCCGCGCCGCAACGCAGAGCAGCAGGCCGCGGGGGCGCGGGCGTCGAGCGCCTCGGCGTCGCAGCCCAGCATGTTGCAGATGCTGCAGCTCATGCTCGACAGCTTGCTCTTGCCGGATATTGGCGCTGGGGCATGCCCTCTGCACCTCGAGGTCCTGTGGGCGCGGCGCAGCGCGCGCCTCGGCCTCGGCGATCTCGGCCCCGGAGGACGCTGCCGCGAGCCCTCCCTCCGCTTCCGCCGGAAGAAGAGGCACCGCCGCCGGCAGCGGCGCCAGCGCCGCCAGCAGCAGCCAGCGTCGCCCAAAGGGGGCAAGACTGCTCCCAAGAAGGAGGCCGCCGCTTCGGTCGCCGAGGCAGCCCTGCACGGCCTCGCGACCAAGGAGAAGGGCGGCGGGGGGGGGCCCGACGCCGGAGGCACAGGGAAAGGCTGGGTTTGAGGGGCGCCGCGAGGAAGGGCAGCGAGGCCAAGAGGAAGGACAAGGGCAGCGGCAAGAGCGCCACCGCGCCACCGCTGTTCAAGCCGTCAAAAAGCTCGGGCACTCGAAGTGTCGTTGCGCCAGGACGGGGTGCTCGAGTTGCAAAGAGAGGCTCAGGATGTCGAAGCTGTTGGGTGAGTAACTCATCAAGTGTATAATTTGTTATGACACGCTTTCGGCCGCGCTTGATCAGTCGCGCGCTTCGCCTGCCGATTGATAGCCATGCTGCGGTGTCCAAGACAGACTGTCCGATCGTGTCTAGCTTTCGTTGCCGCGCTTCTTTCGGGGGCCCTGGAGAGCGCAATCTGGCGTTGGGGAAGCCGCGCGAGCGGCCCGGGGAGCCCCGCCGCCCTCTTTTCCGCCTGCGCGAGGGCGTGCCCTGCCACCGTCTGCGAGCAAAAGCAATAATACAATGATTCAGTCGCTATGCGATTCATTCGCTCGGGAACCAGACAGGGCGGGCGGGGTGAAAGGGGGGGGAGGAGGAAGGCGAGGGGGGGGGCGACTGGCAAGCGAACGGTCTTGCCTGGTTCGAACGTCCCCCTTGCTCCTGTTTCGAAGGAAGGGGCAAACTCTTTGAAACCGCTTTCTCTCAACCCTGCGCCAGCGATGCACTTGCTTGCCTGCGCCAGCTATCTCGCGGAGCGCCCCTGCGACCACGCCTTCGCATGGCCATTTGGGCCCAAGACCTCTGCGGTCGCACCTGCAGCAATGGCCGACGTAACGGAGAGGCCACTGCAATCGCCGGTGGCCTTGGGCGACGCGTTTTTTGCAGTTCCAGTCCGAGGGCCAGAGGGGAAGGCAAGAACAAGGGCGCTTGTGGGCCGGAAAGCAACGGCAAGAGCGCCGGCGGCGACTCGGACACCGAAGCGTCCAGGAGTTCAGTTTCAGAGCCTGCGGAGGAGCCGACGGGCGCCGACAACGGCAAGGGCGGCAACGGCAAGAAAAAAAGGTCAGCGGCAAGGGCGAGCCGAAGGGCAAGGACAAAGGCGACAGCAAGGCAAGCGCAAATGAAGCGGAGAGCCCGGATGCGAAGAGGAGGCACGCGGCACTGACCGCCATGCGGAACTCCCCGGAAGCTCTTCGGGAGGAGTCGGAGATGGCAAAAAGGTTCGCCGCGCCGCGGGCCCCGCGCGGCCCGCCCCCTCCAAGCGAAGGGGGGGGCGTCGACGTGGCGCGGCAATTCCTGGTCAGCAGGCGAGCGGCGCCGGAAGAAACGAGGTGGCACGTCCAGGCAATACTTCGCGGACAAGTGCGGCGCAGGCGGCTGGGGCTGGCAGGGAGGCCGCGCGCCGAGGCGGCCTTCGGGAATGGGCAAGGACGCCTCCTCCCAGGGCGGCAGCGGCGGCAAGGGCGGCCCCTCCCAGGGCGGCGGCGGGCTAGGACAGGAGCGGCGCCATCTCCGACCGCGGCAGGGGCAGCACGGGCAGCGTGGGCGGCAGCGGCGCCAAGGGCTCCGCATGGCAGGGCCCCACGGGCGACAGGGACGGCGATGGCGCTGTCTATCCCGGAACAGCAGGGGCAGCAGGGGCAGCGCCTGCGAGGTCACGCGGGCGCCGCGGACGCCACAGCGGGCGCCGCGGGCGCCGCCCTTTCTGGCGGGGCCCCGCCTTCCTCCAGGAGGTCTAACGAAAGACTCAAGCGATGAAATCGTATTTCTCTCTGTCCCCCCATCTCTCCCTCGCTCTTTCCCGATGTCTTTCACGCACCTGCCAATTTGATGGAGGCGCGTTGTATGTTTGCCTCCACTGATCCATCCGCGCACAGCGTTTCCTGTCCCACTGGGTCGGGGGAGCTGTTTCACAGCACGGAGCCAACCAGCGATATATTCGCATGCCACGCGCCCGAGCGATGCACTCGCTCTACGCCCCTCTAGCCTGGCAGGTCTCGGAGCACGACATATCTGGAGTCTCATGAAGGTCAACGGGTGGCCCCGCAGGTCACTTGATGGACTTCCTAATCATCAAACTATTCCCCCTCCTCCTCCGTCGCCGTCTCTCCTCCTCCTCCTCCTCCTCCTCCTCCTCCACCTCCTCCAGCGATTGCAGTCGCTTCGTGGGGCGGGCCGCGCCGTTCTCTGCTTGCGCCTGGGATCATTCTGCTCGAAGCAACGGGTTTTCTTAGCGGCCGGGGCACATTCAACGGGCAGCCATGGCGGCGCGGTTTCGTCGAGCGTGGGCGAAACGGCACGGCTGCGGCGCGACTTTTGCTCTCGCGGCGATTGCGCGAGAGGGGGGGGGGAGGAGGGGGGCGCCTCTCCCAGGGCGCCGACGGGGAACTCGCGCGGGGCAAGTTGGCGAACCGCCTGTGGCCCCCCCTTACCACGACGCGGGGCCCGACCTTGAGTGGGGGGCGGCGCTGCAGGAGGTATATAATGGCGCGCGCATTGTCTTCGAAATCGCCTTGCTCCCCCACGGGTCAGCCCTCAGAGCGCGACGCCCACGCGCGCTCCCCAGGGCCCGTCGACCAGCGCCTGTTGAAGACAGCGGTGACGAATGACATCGCTGTGCGCGGGGGCGGGTTGCAGCAGATAATGGACTGCCTCGGCAGATCTCAGGCGGCGACCGAACGCGCCGCGGCCATCGCGCGCAGTGCAGCGAAGGCGTTCGAGGACACCGCCGCCGCGATCCCGGGCGCCAAAGAGACGCTCGACAGCATCTGCGTGCGCCGCGTCGGCCGAGCCGCCCCCGGACGAGGTCTGTCGACGCGCGCTCGGCCAATGCCCGCTTGCTTCGGCAGCCAGCGGCTGCTTTGAAAAAATGCACAGCGCTGTCGCAATCCAATCAGAGCGATCGAATCGCTGGTGCGCGGCGGCGCACATCGTCGCCCTTCGCTGGGCCACTGAGGGGGGGGGGGGGCAGAGGCAGCGGCGACCCGCGGCCCCCCCGCCACGAACGAGAATTGGTCGCCCACGCATGAAAAATTGGCTCTGCGACGACCCGCCCGCCAGGGTCCGCCCGACCCGATCCGGCCCGCCCGCTTGGGCCCGCCCGCCCGACCCGACCCGCCCGCTAGGGTTCGCGCGCGCTGGCGCAGGCGCGCCCCGCGCATTGACGACCCAACGCCGTCCAACAGCGGTCCAACGGCGGCCCGAAGGCGGTCCAACCAGGGTCCAACATGTCATGCCACGGCGGCTTAACGGCTGCCCGACGGTGGCCCAACGCGGGTGGTCCAACAATGGCATAACAGGACGTCGCCATCCGCGGTCGGTACTTTCTCCTTGAAGGGGGGCGGGAAGGGAGGAACCGAGGAGAAGCAGAAGGGGGGGGGGGGGCGGCGGAAGCGAAGCATCGCTAGGACAAGCGACTTACTCGCTGAGACTAGCGGTTCCCTCGCCGAGACTAGCGACCCACTCGCTCAGACAGGCGACTCGCTCGCTGAGACAGGCGACTCATTCCGGCGCGTCCCCGAGCCCGCGACATCGCGATGCCCTGGTGCAGCCGCGTCTGGGATAAAGAGCAGCGCGCTCTGCTCTCGGGGCGCCCAGGCGCGCGCGCGACGGAGGCGTGGGCGGCCCCTCTGCGACGGACGCCGCCGTGGCGGGGAACGCCCTGCTGCGGCCGATGCTCCGCCGTTCCGCCGACGCGCCGCCCGCCGTCGCGCCGCGCGCCGTCGCCCGCCCCGCGCGCGCGGGCGCGGAGAGTCAGCTCTCGCCGTTCGAGTTCTCTCGCGCGGCGGCGGCGGCCAGATCGGGGCGGCGAGGCGGGGCGCCCAGGGGGGGCGCGGCAGGAAGCCTCCGCGGGGCCAGAGGAAGCGCCCGAGGAGCAGCCAGAGGAGGCCCCCGGGAGCCAGAGGAAGCCCCCGAGGGGGGGCCGCCGAAGTGGCCGCGCAGAATCAACGGCCGCGCGGGCCACGCCGGGCGCCCGCCCCAGAAGGCCCAG